ACACATACCGCCCAACCATTGCCCGGCCTCAAGGTTCAATTCTCTCCTCACAAGACTCCTTGCTAGATGGAGTTGCTGCTGTACACTGGTACTGTACCAAGAGGTGGAACCGCCTTTCGACCTCAGCAGACTCAGCCTTTCCCAACCTCTCGGACATCAGGCTAAAAGGACCTTCGGTCTGGCGCTCCCACCCCGACACCCATCCTGGTGGGTATCCAAATTAAGAATTCATCAAGTCGTGCAGCCACGCGACCCAGCCTTATGAAGATCAACGCTCCAGCTGCACCCTCTTAATCTAGATGTAATATTCTAGAAAGGGGTACGCAGCGGGACACTGAGGCTGGAAAACAAGGTTGCAGAGGCTATTCTAAAGAGAAGGGACGAAAATAAAAAGGGCCGTATACATATATGAGGCCGCCAGGGATCTAGATGGACGTGTTACAGCCTTGCAATGACACGTGTAGTGTTGTGATGAGGATCTAGAACGAGAGTGTAGCGGTAGCCTTGTGGGGGCGGCGAAGTAGAGTCCTTGAGACTTGAGATGGGGAGGAAGATAAGATAGGGCCAGGAGGATGCGGGAATGTCTTGCGTAAGAGAAGAGCATAGACGGTGTCATGAATATGCTTTGCAGTAACATAGTAAGCTCGACTAACATGGAAGGAATGAATATCACAAAGAAAGACCCAAAAGAAATAATAAATAATAATCATTATTATTTCTCCAGCAAGCAACCATCGCAAGTTGCCCAATCACGACTCACCAAAGTGCTTTCTCACCGCCCTTTGTTATACAACCACCAGACCGCTATCAAGACTACTCAGGCCGAAAGAAATGCAAAGATATGTATGTATATGCATGTTCGGGGTACAAGCTTAAGGGTCTGTTTATTATTCATCATACTTAGACAAATAGTCAGCTCTATTCACAGCGCGTGGCAAGGCTGTTTGTGTTGGGGGCTCTCCCATCCATGCGGGCATTCCCACTACACCCTCTCTACTGCCGTGCAGCGGCGTTGGCGATTTCTCACCTCAGCTCCTGCGCTGGCACCAGCATCTTGTAACCTTAACCAGCATCTTTGCTATCGATACCGAATGATCAGGCCTGTAAATAGCTTCATGTCTCACAATATCTTTGAAGATGGAGTTCCCATCCCCAGCTCTCCAGATCCCCCGTCATGTTTACTTACCCCCGACGCACGAAACACCACCTCGACTACCACACCTGCGCATCCAACAATATCTTCATCTCCATCCCCCAGAGTTCATGTGGTCGCTCGCATCTCACCGTGCAGCGGTTTCTATTTGAGTTTGGATCCTGATCCTGATTGCAAATGATTGCAAATACACCAACACCAACACTCACACTCCTCCTTGCCACCTCCTAACCACAACGTTCATCCCATCCCATCCCGTCTCATCTGATCTAATCTGCGATGGTCCTATAGTACCAACCACCACCGCCCAGAGGTTTCCCCAACAGGATCAGGATGAGTATTATTACCCGGCCGTCGTCTTATCTTAATCCAGATACTCCACATCCTATCGAAACCCCTGCCCCGTGAGGACGGATGCGACGTCCGCGCAGATGACGAACAGATACAACCGGACAGCGGTCCGGCGCGCTGCGCTCCATCCCGTACGGCGTGGCACGTACTGGCAGATGCAGGTCAGAGCCGTCAGATTATCCCGAGATGGCCGTTGCTGTTGGTCCGCGGCACCGGCCACAACACCGGAGAGGCCACGAGTGTTGGAGATACCTGGCGGACACAGGTGATCCGGATGGATGTGGATTGCGGCGTCGGCAACAACCTCTTGCGGAACTGTAATGGCATGGGGATTAGGGTGTGGTATGGAGGTCAGAGCTGACGAGCGCCGGAGGGCTTAGGGCTTGGGGTGAAGGGATCCTTGAGGTAAGTTCTGTTTCCAGCTTCCGAGATATATATAAGAAGGGTTTGGTATAGGTCGGTTGCTCCCTAATGACTATAAAGGTATGGAAGCGAGGTTCGGAACGATGTCTCGGGGTCAAGTGACAAATATCCCATTGATTCCAAGTCGAGATCAGTCATTGGGCGGAGCGGGAGCGGGAGTGGGAGCGGGAAGAATTTAAATAAATAAATATCTTGATTGGATATTTTGAATATTCCCTTCCATTGCCTTCCATTGTCGGTTTAATCCTCGGTGTTCGAAATGTGGCACGCCGGAAAATGCCAGCTATCTGGTTGTGGTTAACCTCCTCAAGTCGCCTGCGCCAACACACCCAAGGGCTAACAAGATGGGACATGGCAAGATAATGAGACACTTTCAGCTTCTCTTGTTCCGGGTTCCAAACTTTACCTCCTCCTTGCATAATCTCCATTGCTGAGGATTGTTCCTTGGTCCTCCTTGGATTGCCGCCTAGCAGGCCTAGAATTCCTCTCTCTCCCTTTATTCCACAAAGGCACAAAGACAACACACAAAGGCCCATCACATGACAAACCCCATCATCCCCCCCACCGCGGGTACCGTAGAAAAAGTATATATACGTTCGTACGCCATTCCGCCTCTATGGCAGTCCCGACGAGTGTGGGAGAACATACCACCCAGCACCCAGGGTCACTCTCCCTCCCACGACATAGCATTCCCTAGCACAGCGTGGGATCATATTCTCGCCTCCGCCTCCGCCTCCACAATCACTGTTGCACCGTAGATTGGGATCTGTGTCCCGTGTCCGGTACTCCCCAGATGTACATGTACATGTGCTGCTGTGGGCTCCCCCCTTAGCGAGTAGTTCCTGCTGCCCTATAGATCCCGATGGCCGGGTACACATAGACTACTAGATCGCCAGCAACAAGGTGCGACGCAGGCAAACACATTCATTTTTCTGCAGCTGTACTTCGTACCTCGTACATAGGTAGCTTGATTGATCAATGGCGGGGGGCCCGCCACCAATATAGATCCAGGGGCAATCACAATTGCCATATGCGCAGCAAACCCCGTGGATGGACATCGATCTCCAAACTCGCTTCGTCACATCACAACAGGGGGAAAGCAAAACCGTCAACACAGCAAACACCACAATCACACATATCCATCCACCCCCACAGAAAAACGTAAGAGCACAACATACCTAGGTAGGAACCTTAGGTGCATGCCCTTCGCAAGAAGCCGCACCGTGAATTTTCCGGTATGCATTGCAACGTGAGATCCGGCGCACCTTTTCTCTCCCCAGCAGCTCCCTGTCCGTTCTAGCAAATACTACCAATACCACCACCACCAAGCCACCCCTCATCGCGTCCCCCCATAAAAGCAAACAGACACCGTGTAGCCAGCCCACGCGCGCGACAAGAGCACTCAAGGTAGCACCCGGAACCCCCATCCGCCACAGGGAATTGGGAACTCTCCGTATCTCCCCCCCTTCTCTCGCTCTCTCCGGTATCTGTCCCTGATGTACAACCCCATGGGGGGGGGATTCGGGACGGCGCTGACACTTCATCACTCACTCATCCATCCGTCCTCCCATGAAACAGAGTCAGCCAAGGCCAGTCAGCACCAGCACCAAAGCTATTCCCTCGTCCTTCGTCCTACCACGTACAACCCACCCTCATCCCATTTCCCATTTCCTATCCTCTCCTCACATCCACATCACATCACGGAAAATGCCCAAACCAGACCCGTGCCAGATCACCCATCCATAAGCAGTGGCTATCACACCGAATAAGCCCTCCCTCGCTATGCAAGCCCCAAATAGGAAATCGGGTGCCAGCGATCAGCGAAATCCCCAAGCCCAGCAGCGTTACCATTATGTTTTTGCGTAGCCTTATTTCCCGGATGGGAATGTCAAGCCGGTCCCGCAGTCATGGTGGTGGTGACGGTGGTGGTGCAAAATGTGATATTGTTGATGCCTTATACTGCTGCGGCTTTGCCCTTTCATCTTGGCTGTGGTCGGAAGATGCCCATTCATTGCCTTGCGAGCCCGGCTGGTGGGTGTCGTCTGTCCGTTTGCTGGATGGATGGCGAGGATGGGTATCACAAGGTCTACGGTATGTGGTCAGATGCGTCGCCAATCGCCACACCGACGACGTATATTGCGATTCCGAATCTCACTGGTAATTATACGAAGTAGCTGCTAGGGGTTTCAAGTCACAATTTCCACTTGTTTAATCAATCATCGAGGAGTAAGCTATTTTTTGTTCTGAACACACTTTTTTTGTCATTAAAATAAGGTAGGAGGCTAAGCTAAGGCAGTAATGGCCATTTCTCCTATGCGCTTGCGCTCACTTTCATAGCCTTGAGGCTTGCCATATCTTCTTCCATCTCGCTGAGCTAGATCCCTATATTGATCTGCTCGCAGCTCACTTCACTATCGTAACACACACCATGTACAGCAGCTAGCCCCCCGCATCAGGCTAAGAAAGCAAGCAAGAAAACACCAATCCCATCCATGGTATCATCCGGGAAAACGCCGAGTAATCTGATCACCAGCGCCAAACTCATGTATGAGGCCAGCCAGGTATCGTAAAATCAAAGTAGAACACATCTCTCTCTCATCTCAAAATAAAAAGTCTCTTTTTTCTTTCCAAGCCTTCAGTGCCTCGTGCGTCAATTTTCTCCCCAGGGGAGGAAAAGAGCGACCCGGACCAATCGGACCAATAAACGCCGCCGATGTTATAGGCCGTTCCACGCGCAATGCAATGAATATTTTCACAAGAATAGGAAATCGCTGAAAAGCAAATGATGCCGCTGTAGTTAAAAGCAAAGGGCAGTCTCCATGCCAATGCTAAACCAGTTCCGTGTCCGCACGCCCGGGTTCCATGCCAGAAACCCCGAGACGATGAATGCTAATGGCTGTGAAGCCGATGTAGGCTGTATATGTACCTTCCTTCCGTGTCTGTCGAAATGTACAGGATACTGTAATGCCACAACGTATATGTTTGTGTGCTGAGGTCAAAACCCTAATGCGCAAGAGTCCGATGTCTTGTCGAATTACAATTATGCGACTTATAAAAGGCGAGGTGTTGATATCTACCATCCCTTGGAATGGTATTCGCCCAATCCGTTGCCGAAATATTGGTTCCAGCTCGCGTTGACTGCATCGCCTTCTTTGGTGTGCATATAGAGCTTGTCCGGGTACTGCTTGAGGTTCGCGACGTCCTGTGTGGTGTGTCGGCGTTGGAGGACGGCGTTGGCAGTTTGTGACTTCTGTCGATGTTCCCAAACCAAATGCTGGCGGAGGCTGACAGTAAGCTCGTCATTGATCATCTTGCGACGGGTTGTTCGGGGCGAGAGAGCTTGCTGGGGAGCCATTGCGGGTGTGGGCCTGTTAATTGGCTGTGCTGTTGATCGAGGGACCTCTGGGATGGGTTTTAGCCCCTTCTTCATCATCATCAGGCCTTGGTCGTCAGAATCTGGAGACGCAGCTAGGGATGGGCCGTTGGGAGAGGTTGTTCGGGATCTCTGGAAGGCAGGTGTTGATTGTGAATTTGCGGCCGCCTGAGCAAGCGCGTTGGCCCTGTCGTTTTGGTGGAGCATGGTGGTGATGAGAGAACGGCGCGATGTCAGGTTTGGTCTGGAGTCCACTCGCTGGAAGAAGGTCTTCTCATCAATACTTGGGTTTCCACTATCCTCAACAGAGTCCTCCCAGTCAGATGAATCGTCATCATCATCGATGGCGCTCTCATCAATGTCGTCCTCATCGTCGGTCTCGAAGACGTCGTCGTCCACGGCCTGTTCCTCCTGGATGGTCTTGGTCGCAACACTCTCCTTGAACGATGCCTGCTTCTTGTGGGCGTTGGGCAATGGGCCTTTCGTCATGTTCTGTGGTAATGAGCTCTCATCTTCGTTGGATGATCCGCCGAAGGAGAACATCGCGGCCTTCTTCTTTGGTGGCAGCTGGACATGGGTTTCTAATGAGTTGGCCTGTTCACTCAGCGAGTCCTCAGCCGATGATCCTCCTAGTGAGAACATGCCGGGCTTCTTCGATAGTCGTCCTTTTGAAGGCGTAGCAGGGGCGATGTCGGTTACTGGAGTGGACGCCGCCGCAGGAAGGGGAACAGATCTAAACGAGGAGCTAACATGTGAAGGTGAGAAACCCCTGACAATGCTGGTAGTGCTCCGTTCAGAGGTGCCACTGGCTGAGTCGAGAGTAGGTGGCGAAGAGTGGCCGGAACACGAATCCGATGTCAGGGACCCGCTTTCTACCGCCGGAGCGGCACTTGACAGCGTGGATGCTGCCGGCTGCTGTTGGGCTAGGACCTTCGCGACAGGAGCAGCCAGGTATGAATGGACGCTTGCGGCGAGTGGTTCCAGGACCTTTTCCTCCTTGATGCTGATCATCATCTTCTTGAGATCATCCGGGGTAATATGCCTCTCACGGCCGCGACTCCTGCTGTTGGCGGAATCCAGGCCTTGGGGTTGGAAGGTGGGGATATCGAGGGCGGCGGGGTTTGATTCTGGGCTGCTCTCCGTATCGAATTCGATCGCCTCTTCGTCGGCTAATGAGTCGAGGCTGCCTGAGAGACTGGGGAGATCTGAGGATTCGGAGCGGGCTGAACTTCTTGCGGGACGGGAGATGGAGGGGGTGGTCGCGTTGGCCTGTGAAACTGGGTCGCAGCAGAAGGTCTCGCGGTTCCATAACCTCCAGCTGAGGTTTTCTAATCGGCGTCCTTGCTCTAATGATTCTGAGCATCTGGAGAAGACTGGGTATGTGGTGTTAGTATAGGGACGCGAAACGGGCACGTTCTCAGAGCGATGCTCACCTGACCACATGCTGAAGAGATTCTCAACATTGCGGGTGTCGACCTTGTGGATAAGACCCACGTCGACGGTCAGGACCGGTGCCTCTAATCTGGCGGGCATGGTTTATTGATCTGCTCGATTGCACGAGCGGCTACTGTTTCGAAGACACAACTGCTGTGGGATGCTCGCGGGCGAGTCGCGAAGCGGGCGCTGGGAATGGGTTGTGGGAAGGTGAGGCTGGCGGATCGGATATGACGAGATCGCAACAGATTCTGTGCTATTGCAATCGACACTCGGCGGCGACATGCAGTGAACTGCAGAGGGGAGGACGATATGCGTGGCGGTAGTACAGCGCAGGAGGGGGGATGCTGCTGAAAGGAGTTGAGTGAGTTGAGTTGAGTTGAGTTGAACGGTGAAGGGATAGATAGCAGTCGAGGATGTGGATCGGGGAGTGTCGGTGGTGGTGGTGGTGGTGGGCAGCAGAAGACAGAAGAGGATATTTTCCCTGCAGACGCGGTGGATATGTATGTGGATGTCGATGTGGATTGAGGTGAATGTGAATGTGGATGTATACTGGTACTAGTAGTCGGGGAGGGATGGGATGGGATGGATGGGATGGATGGGATGGGTTGGGATGGGATGGGTTTGGTGGGCACCCAAAGAGTGCTTGGGTCCAGAAGCAGGGGTGGGGTGGAGGGTGGGAGAGAGGGCGTGGGCGTGGGCGTAGG